TGATTTCATCAAAGATCACTCAGAACTTTTTTTTTTTTTTGCGGTACGCGGACCTCTCACTGCTGTGGCCTCTCCTGCTGCGGAGCACAGGCTCCGGACGCGCAGGCTCAGCAGCCATGGCTCACGGGCCCGGCCGCTCCGCGGCACGTGGGATCTTCCCAGACCGGGGCACGAACCCGTGTCCCCTGCATCGGCAGGCGGACTCTCAACCACTGCACCACCAGGGAAGCCCAGAACTTTTTTTTTTAATAATAAAATTTTGCTCTCTACAAATCTAAAATCATTCTGAAAAGATTCTCTGTTTTAAGAACAGAGAATGTTTTAATCACAAAAATTAAAGTTTATGTAAGAGAATGTATTAATTACAAAAACTGAAGTTTCTTCATGCTCCTTCTATGGGGAGCAGCCAATGAAAGATTTTTATCCATTTACGTATATGAAGGGTAGCATTATACATCGTGCATACTGAATTAAAACAGGATCAGGAAAATAGATTTTAAACAGGAAATTATAGAATGTTCAGTAGGTAACTGGCCTCTAATAGCAAATTGATATTAACTTCTTAGCATGCTTCTACTGTAGTATTTTTTTTTTTTTGATAGGTAAGAAGTGCATTTATTTAGAGAGAAACACTCTCCACAGACAGTGTCTAGTGTAGTATTATAGACCCAAATTTCATGGAGGGGGCAACTGATTATAGAAATAGTTGTAGGCAGAGCTTGCTTTACAGTTTGAATGAGTTAACAGCTCTAAGTTATAAATAAAGTCCATACTATCATCAGGTATTTAGTAAGCTATCCATTTACATAGCATCTTCCATTTAAGCATCTGTCTATACTCAGCAATGTGCCAGGTGATATAAGGAACTATCGAGACACAGATCAGATAGATGGAAGCACAGGTTTACGTGATACACAGCTGCTTCTGTCTGAGGACTCAAAAGGCCATCTAGGATAACTTCTCATACCTTTAAGGGAGAAGGCTAGCTTCTGTCCATCTTACAGAGCAGACTAAGAAGGTTAATTAATTCTTATGATCATCCCACAAGTGACTCTGTAAGACATTTTTTAGAATCAATTTTACCAAGATATATTTACATATAATAAAATGCACCCATGTTAAGTGTGTAGTTTGATGAGTTGGTGGTTACTTGTGATACACCCAAGTAAGTACCACCACAATCAACATATAGAACCCTTACACCATTGCAAGAAATGCCCTCATGCTCCTTTGCAATCAATCACCAACTCCACCCCCTGGCAACTGCCAATGGGCTTTCTGTCACTATAGCTTAAGTTCTGTCCATTCTAGAATTTCATATAAATAGAATCATACATCATGTCGTCTTTTCCATTTTTTTCCCACACATAACACAAGGCTTTTGAGATTCATCCATGTTGCTGCACGTATTGGTAGTTCATTTAATTTCCAGGTAGCATTCCACTGCATAGTTATAAAAATAATTTTATTCACTCACATATAGATGGACATCTGAGTTCTGATTTTTGGTTATTATAAATAAAACTGTTATGAACCTCTATGTACATGTCTTTATGTGGACATATGTTTTTATTTCTCTTGGGTAAATGCCTAGGAACAGACTTGTTGAGTCATATAAATGCAAGTTTGACTTTATAAACAACTGTCAAATTGTTTACCAAAGCAATTCTATCATTTTTACATTCCCACCAGCAAAGTATGAGAGCTCAAATTGCTCCACATGCTTGCCAACACTTGGTATTGTCAGCCTTTTTAATTTTAGCCATTGCTGAGAAGAGAAAGTGGAAACCAATGCTTTAAGAATGTTAATCACAGAGGCCTCTCAGTATGTAAGTATCTGTGTACCATTCAAGAAGCCAGCCAGGAAGTCCAATGAGAAACAATCAAATTCTATCCCAAAGCTCCATGGATGAATTGGAGAGGTTATTTCTCTCCTTACACAATTATAGCTAAATAACTCAAGAAACATCTTATTTCCTTTGCTCCAGCACCATTTTGGATTCCCCTAGAGGATATACAACCCGCTCTGAAAATAATAAGTCTCATGATCACAGGCCTCTCCCTCTCAGATTATAAACTCTGCCAAATACTGGTGGAAAAAAATTCACACAAAGAATCATTACTAAAAGACACTGGATATATAAAACACCCATGCTTACATGCATATGTTGGCAAACTTTTAAAGCTTTGATACTCTTCTCTTTAAAAAAAGAATATAACTCTTTATGCTGTTTGAAAAGTGGTTAAAAATTATTTGTAGACACTGCCCTAATTTGGACAAATTTTGCCTATCCAAAATGGAGAGCTGGTTTTCATCAGCCAAACCACAAGAGTTGAAGGGCTCGGACTCCCAGAAAGCACAGGAGGTTCACACTGATAGCAGGAAGGAACAGCTGCCATTCCAGGACTCTGCTTTCACTTCACAGCCTCCTATGTGAGTTGAGCTACAAAGACTAAACAGGACTAAACAGGAGACAAGGAGGAACTCAGAATCCAGTTCATCTTTCAAAGAAGCCGCCCTTCCTCTGCCTGGAATGTTCCCTGCACCCACACCATTTCTTTTCAGAACCAGTGAGGCCCTACTTTTCTTGCAGCTCTGGGTTCTCCCAACCAGGTCAAATCCTCCTCACACATGCTTTCACATCAGTATATTTTTCCTCTTTAAGCTTTCAACAGTTAATAATTATGCTTATTTTAGTGAATAAAATATTAATGTCTACTGCTCCTTCCCCAACAAACAAGGTAAGCTTCATAAGTTTTTCTCCTAACTGAACCCCCAGCACCAAGAGTGCTCAGCACATAAAAAGTACTTAATAAATATGTGCGTAATTAATTAATTACTTGTTAATTAAAACAACACCTTATCAAAGGTGTTGATAAGCCTCTACGCTTTTCATGAGTTCGAAAATAAAGGTGGCTGCTTCTTTCTAGATTACAAGAAAAATCAAACTGCGAAAACACTGTGGGTGTCAAAGTTGCCCGGCCTTCTCCTGCCCCAGTTTCCATTAAATCAGCTGCTTAAATGTCAGATCTGCTTTGTCAACCTATCCTCTCAAAATTCCAATCCATGAAAAGGATGAAGACTTTCAGAACTCAAGACTGTCCTCCATTAGAATGCAACAGAAAAGTAATTCTCATAGTTGCAGGCTTTAAACCTGAAGGTCTTGGTAATTTGTAAAGGAAATGCAGTTATCCAGTAAGTCCCCGGTCATTATCTCCTATGGCAGGAGAAATGGTCACGCTCTTTCACCGGGAGAGGGAATTAGAGGCCCCATATCACTCTTGCAGACTTCATGATCAGAAAGAGGCTGACAATAACACGTGCCTAAAAGGCAAACAAAACGGCCCTTTTCTTCATCCACCTTTTCTGCAACTGCCTGTCTTCAAGAAATCTCAATGAAACACTGAGAGAATGGAGGTTAATTAGAATATTATGTGTCCCTGCTCATCCCATGTTCTGCTCAGCCCAAATACAAAATTTCTTTTAATGCATTCTATTCATTATTGGTATAAGCGAAAACTCTAGAATTCAAATTTAAAGATGTGGAAATATTTTTAAGACCTGAACCTCATTAACAAAATACTAGGAAGGTATTAGGAAAGGCTACTTCTTTAGATATGAATTGAGCCCCTATTTATTATATGGCAAGCACTGCTCAGCACACTAAAGCAATGCAAATGTCTTCCAACAGTCACCAAATCTTATTAACCTAATTGTTACTTGGGATTAAAGAGAGACCAATATTTCAAGGTCAGTTCTCAATCTAACCATTGAAAAGGCATTCTTACCAAAGGGTTATATTTCCATTTTATTTTAAACTAAGATACAGTCCTATTATTATCTCTACATGTTCTTTCTGGAAAAAAAGCTATTTCCACCTTGAAATAAATTCTGATAAACAAATGATCTGAGGCTTAATTTAAAAAAAAAAAAAAGCTAAAAATGGGTCTAAAAATAAAGTTTTATTCCCAAGCCACAACTGAAGAAAATTGGAAAAAAAGATGAATTAAGGTAAGCCTAATTCCTCCGTTGCCCAGTTACAAGAAATATCAGAAATATTACAAATGCTCCAGGTGCTCAGATTAGCATCACCCATAGTTCCATGGAAAACTTATCCAAATTTCATCTCAAAACACTTTGTATGGGCTTCCCTGGTGGCGCAGTGGTTGAGAGTCTGCCTGCCGATGCAGGGGACGCGAGTTCGTGCCCTGGTCCGGGAAGATCCCACATGCCGCGGAGCGGCTGGGCCCGTGAGCCATGGCTGCTGAGCCTGCACGTCCGGAGCCTGTGCTCCAGAGAGGCCACAACAGCGAGAGGCCCGCGTACAGCAAAAAAACAAAAACAAAGAAACAAAAAAAACACTTGGTATGAATTCAAATTCACAGTAAGTCCCACAGATATCCTACAATCACAAGCGGAAAGAGAAAAAAAGTAATCCCACAAAATTCTAAGCTTAATAGAACAGATGTCTCTTCCTGACAAGGAACAGCTGTCAGGCAAAGCTGTGATTCATGAGCTGAGTCTACTTTCTCACATTCCATACAGTGTCGATATTTATCTTGAGACCAACTATTACTGATTATTGGCAACTCTTAAGAAAAAGAAAAGTCAATGAAACTCAGGCTGCTGGTAGTAACAATTATCCAAATACCAGGAAGTGTTCTAAAACAAAAAATCTCAGAGGATAGCCCACTTTCTGTCAAGGCCCTAGTGAAGGAAAAGTATGGACAAACAGAAGTGTTTGCCAAACCCTTTACAGATGCTCTTAATGAAACTGAAAGGACATTAAAATTGCACTTCATTACCTTTCCATACTAGGCAACATCAAAAGCCAAGGTACCATGAGCAAATAAGGAAGAAAGAAGGTAACAGAGAAACAGGGAAGGAATGGAAAGGCAGGTGTATCCAAACCTTGGGCTATAACCCTCCTGGACACCTTAGAATTAACTGCTTTAAAACAGAAGTTGTTTTAGTGATATTCATATCTGATTTTCATTACCTGACAGGCAGATGTAAGTTAAATATTCGCCTTGACCTCCAGTTGCCAAGAAAGGAATCTTTTTCTTTGTCCTCCTCTTGACTTGGACAGCTCCCAGCATCCTTTCATCAAGAGGTGCAAAAATTTCCTTGCTGATGGCAGACTTGGCACTCATTGTTGACCAAGCTAGCAGGGCACGCAGTGAGTTTTCTGAAGAAAAAGAAAAGGCAAGCTGGAATTGGCAGTATTACAAGGGCTCATATAAGAATGAGCAGCAGATATGATCCAGCAATCCCACTCCTGGGCAAATAGCCAGAAAAGATGAAAACTCTATTTCAAAAAGACACATGCACCCCAATGTTCATAGCAATACTATTTACAATAGTCAAGACATGGAAGCAATGTAAATGTCTATCCACAGATGAATGGATAAAGAAGATGTGGTGTACACACATAATGGAATACTACTCAGCCATAAAATCAATGAAATAATGCCATTTGGAGCAATATGGATGGACCTAGAGATTATCATACTATGTGAAGTAAGTCAGAGAAGGACAAATATCATATGATATCACATATGTGGAATCTACATAAATGATATAAATGAACTTATTTATAAAACATAAACAGACTCATAGACATAGAAAACAAACTTATGGTTACCAAAGGGGAAAGGGTAGGGAGGGATAAACTGGAAATCTGGGATTAAGAGAAACACACTACTATATATATAATTAGATAAACAACAAGGACCTACTCTATAGCACAGGGAACTATATTCAATATCTTGTAATACCCTATAATGGAAAATACGTATATATGTGTAACTGGATCACTTTGCTGTACACCTAGAACACTGTAAATCAACTAAAACTAAAAAAAAAAAAGAATGAGCAGCAAGTTGATTCACACATGAAGTAATTTTCAATTTGTGGTTTAACCTCTCACTTGCTTGAAATGCATTACAGAAGCATTAAAAGGCCTTTACATTTGTAATAACTGTGAAAAAACTCAAACACAAAAGGAATACCGATTTACTCGCTGAAAATGACAAACGCAACGTGAGATGAGCAGCACAAAATGAGATCTAGAAAGTGTGTCAGTCTCTATCCCAGGTGCACCTGACTCTAACAGGCAAGTGGCACCCACCCCATTCCCATTCTGTAAGGACCACGATTTCACATTTCCAGCTGAGATCTTTCCACTGTCTAAAAATCTTTGAAGTCAAGAGGTTCTTTATGCAACTTCAAAATCTCCTTTAACTCTAATGTAAACCCATTTCCCTAATTCTATTCATAGCAGAAATAATTATATCATCTACCACATAATAACTATATATGCAACAGAAGACCATTAATTTAATCACCCTTCAGCTGCTCTGGATCAGGCTAAGTAATTAATCCTTATTTATTAGCCTCTTTCAACGGGTCCTATTTTCCATTGCTCCTCTGCCTCTCATTGCCATGCTCTGGACCCTCGCCAAATTCTCCACAGTTTCCTTCAGCCAAAGTGGACACAGAATCCTAAAAAAAATGTCTGACTAATGCCAAGTATTTTGGAAATGTTACCCAGAAGTTCCCAAATGTTATGCTCCTGTGGTTAACTGGCAGTGTGTGCCCAATAATTAAGAAAATAAAGCATCATGTTGCTGACTCCCAAAGAGTCCCTCCCCCACCATTCAAATTTACATATACACAGTCCCCATGTTATATTTAGTTTTCCAAAGTTGTACTTCCCTAAAGGTCTTGATTCTGCTTATTTGTGTCTATTATATTCAAGGTCAATCTGAATTTTAACCCTCTATCATCCAAAAACTCAGCTGCAACCTGAGTAAATGTTTTCTATTCCATCATCCTAGTCAGAGTCTATGTCTTAAGCAGTAACCAACATTTGCTCAAGCAAATAACAAATCAGAACTAAAGGTGCAGAGAAGGCCAATGGGTTGGTCATGCAGGCCGTACAGAGTATTCAGAGATCCTGCAGAGGGATCAACAGCACAGCTATAATATGGTAACAGTAGCTCAAAGAGCTGGTCAACCTGCTGTAAAATCAAGCCAGTTGGAAAACAAACACCTATTACGTGCCACCTCAATGCTCAGTATAGAGATATAAGAAATAACTAAGATATGCTCCCTGCTCTCCAGGAGTTGACTACTGACTACATCAAAGGTTTCCCTTAAATCCAGATGATTTATGATGGAAGACCATGAAACATCCTTCCCAATGCAAGATTCACAAATGCTGCCCACACAGCTGTCCACCTATAACTGGTCCCACACCTCTAACCTCATGGTAGGAAAGAGATATATTAAAAAAGAACCTTCCCTTGGTTAAAGAAATTTCTCGTGGTTTCAGTTCTGTAGTAGGTTTTCTTAGTGGCAGCAAGAATAAAGAATAAATAGTGTTGGTGTTTATTATCTATCTATACCTCTATCTATACATTATAGATCTATGCCCAGATCTATGTGCTCAGATCATGCCATTTTATCATTGCCACCAGGTTCTTCATACTAGCTGAGTACAAAATGATGACGGAGTTTCTCAATGTGCTGACCTTTAACTGACACCCTGTGATTTCCTAGAAGTTAGCAAACAGAATTTCCCCCACTGCGATTTACCCCATGACTTTGCTATGCAGGGTGTTATAATTTACAGGGACTTTTTTTTTTAAAGAGAGAAACTAGTTCTTTTCTAGCTCCAAGGCTTCTCACCTCTCAGCATTTGGGGACACGTGAAAGAGAAAGCCAGTGGTAGCACGGTGGCTTCAAACGTCCAATAAAAACAATGTAGAAAGAAAGTCATCTTCCCAAACTCATCAGGCATTCTCTAACCAGCGCCTTCCCAACTGTGGCAAGACTTTTGCTTTTCCAACTCAGATTCACATTTTTCAAAACTTGTGGTTAAAAGAAATAGAAAGCTATCATTGTATTATGCAAAATCTGTCAGAGAAAAAAAAAGAAAAGGAATGTGCTACTAAATTTTCAGGAAATCTTGCTCTTCTTTTGAAAAACTGGTAAGAAATGGAAATGGCCTTTTGTTGTTGTTTTTTGTATGGATATTCAGCAGCCAAGAACAAAAGAGAGAAAAAAAGAGGAAAAATAAAACCAGTAACTTCACTGACCACAAGTTTGGAATCAGACAAACTTGGGTTCAAATCTTATTTCCAAAACTGAAGACCTATATGTGGGTAAATCTCTTAAAATTCAGACCCTCAGTTTACTCACTGCAACATGGAGAGAGCTTCACCTAATTCATGGAAACACTGAAAGAATTAGATGAAACAATGCATGCAAATCACTTATTCTGGTGCCTGAATCATAATGAATGCTTCAAATGGAAAATTTTTATTAACTCTCCTACTAAGATATGAAAAATAAAAGACCCTCTGAACTTGCAGAAACTGAGTAAATGTAGCCATCCATAACAAGGTATTTGTAAAAGAGAAACTCGATTTTATTTACCAAAGCTTTGCTTTTCTCACTCAGGGGTATGAAACCCTCTAAATATGGATAAACAGTCTAACATATGGAGGGCTCTGTATAAAGTGTTATCAGGATGAGCTATTTATAGGTTTCACCCTCAGGAAACTCACTTGCAAGAGACTATCAGGCCCTTTTTTTTTTTTTTTTTGCGGTACGCGGGCCTCTCACTGTTGTGGCCTCTCCCATTGCGGAGCACAGGCTCCGGACGCGCAGGCTCAGCGGCCACGGCTCACGGGCCCAGCCGCTCCGCGGCATGTGGGATCTTCCCGGACCGGGGCACGAACCTGTGTCCCCTCCATCGGCAGGCGGACTCTCAACCACTACGCCACCAGGGAAGCTCACTCAGGCTCATTTTTATGGGAAATTGTCTAAAGTTTTTGTCTAGGCCAAGGATACTAACAAGCCTGGGAGCAGGCGTGTATGTTTTTGATGCCACCGGGAAATGGGAATGGACAGTGGATTAGAAGAGAAAGAATCAGAACGTAAAAGGGGTACTAATGTAGCTTTATGGAAACAATCTATGAGTGTCTCCCAAGCCTGACTGCACATCTGAACTCAGCAAGGAGAGCTTTTCAAAAATGCAGACCCCTGGGCCCCTCCTTTAACCCCACCAAATAAGAATCTTGGGATCTGTAGTTTAAACAACTCTCTAACTGCAGCCATCCTGACACCTAAGTGAAAAGCTGAGAGCCTAACTAAGGAGGAACTGTGGGGACGGAAAGGAGTGTATTCTCAGGAGACAATACAGGAAGAGAATGTACAGGACTTTTTCTCTCCATTCAACCAAGCAGATTTCTCAGGTCTTAGATCTTCCTACTGGTAAATCAATGTCCAGCCCACAGCTGGACCTCTTTGTAAGGAAAACAAGATGAATACACAGCGGTGGTACACCACTGACCACAGTTACTCCAAACTACATCACGCTGAAGGGGAGCAGGACACGCTGCCCCGAAATATTCTGCTTTAGTATACTGCTCGTTTTGAGCCAAAGGTATCTGAAAACCAGCATATGTAGGGACAGGCTTTCTCTGAATTCCCTTTATCTGTCTAAAGACAGATCCTCCCAAAGGAACTCAGTTGTTATAAATCCCCTCTCCAGGAGTTTCATCCACCAGAGAAGACTGATTCTTGTCACAGGACAGTAGACTAGAAGTCGACACCACACTCAGACACACTCTGTCACAAACTGTCACACCTTCCATCTAGTCTTGTAAGGGCCCATTCACCTTTTCTAAAAATCCTTTTCTCTCCCCTAAGAGGTCTACACCCCGTCCCCCTTCCCTAATAAGATGGTATTTAATCCTGAATTCTAAGCCACCTTGGGAATTATTCAATTTTCCCAGGGTATCTCCCATGTATACACAAGCTATACATGTTAATAAACTTCTGATTGGTTTTCTCTTGTTAATCTGTCTTTAATTACAGGGGTCTCAGCTAAGAACTCAGAAGAGTAAAGGGAAAATTATTTTTCCTCCCCTACAACCCATGGAAGTTTTCTCTCTTCCTGGTCCACAGCTTCTAAAGGCTATAATTACAAAGCTTTCCCATCCAAGAAACCAACCTACAATATGATTTGCAAGTCAAAGCAGCTGGCTGCCTTAAGTGGTAGTTTTGGAAGCTAATCACAGTTAGCTTTCCTCTCCCTCAAGCTTTCTCATCTATCTTCTCCCTTTAAGCCATCTGACCCATAACCACTTTTGTCAGCACACGGTTATGGTAGTGAGA